TCCCAGTTCCCCCCGACAGAGGCTCCTCTGCAGACGCTTCACATGGACGTGTGGGGCCCAGCCCCCGTCAGTGGGCAGGGTCACGAGCGCTACTTTCTGTTGGTGGTTGACGACTACTCGCGTTACACCACAGTCCTCCCCTTGCTCAGCAAGGGTGCTGTCGCTGAGGTGCTGATCGACTGGATCCGCGAGGCTCGTCTCCAGCTCAGGAAGAGCTTCGGCTCGGACTTTCCTGTTCTGCGTCTGCACTCGGACAAAGGCGGAGAGTTCTCCTCTGGTCTTCTGCGAGCCTACTGTCGTGCACGAGGCATCCGCCAGACCTTCACGCTTCCGGACTCCCCACAGCAAAATGGGATAGCTGAGCGCCGCATTGGCATGGTCATGGACGTTGCCCGTACGTCCATGATGCATGCGGCTGCCCCCCATTTTCTGTGGCCGTTTGCGGTCCGATACGCGGCGCATCAGATCAACCTTCACCCCAGGGTCTCCATGCCGGAGACCTCCCCAGCTTTGCTGTGGACGGGGAAGGTTGGCGATGCGTCTGCGTTCCGTGTCTGGGGATCTCGGGCGTTTGTCCGCGACTTGTCTGCGGACAAGCTGTCCCCTCGTGCTGCTCCCTGTGTCTTCCTTGGCTTCCCCACTGACGCTCCAGGGTGGCAGTTTTACCACCCCTCCTCTCGTCGTGTTCTGTCCTCTCAGGACGTCACGTTCGACGAGTCAGTCCCCTTCTACCGCCTCTTCCCCTACCGCACTCCTTCCCTCCCCCCTTCGCCGGACTTCCTTGTGCCGGTTCCCCCCCCGGTAGACCCCCTCCCCCCTCAGGTTCCTGCCCCCTCAGGTGTGTCCCAGGTAGACGCACTTGACCCGGTCGAGGTTACTGGTGACTCTGGTGCTGCTGCGGGTGCTGAGCCTGGGGGTGCTGACTCTGGGGGTGCTGTGCGCGGGGGTGCCGGGCCTGGAGGTGCTGCTACTGGGGGTGCTGAGCCTGGGGATGCTGGGCCTGGGGGTACTACTACGGAGGGTGCTGAGCCGGGGGGTGCTGTGCCAGGAGCTGCTGAGCCTGGGGGTGCTGAGTTGGGAGCTGCTGAGCCTGGGGGTGCTGAGCCTGGGGTTTCTCCTGCTGCTGCGTCTCGACGGGAGCCCCTCTCTCCACAGGAGCTGCGCGAGTGGTTTGCTCGCCGCTGGAGGCGTGCTGCTGGAGCTGGAGCTTCTTCGACCGTCGAGGGTGCTGGTGCTGCCGGTCCCGGAGCTGCTAGGCCTGCGGGTCCTCCTGGAGCTGGAGCTGCTGAGGGTGTTGGTGCTGAGACCACTGCTGTCTGTCCTCCTGGTGGTTCTGCTGCTGGTCCTGCTGGAGGTCCTGCCGCTGGAGGTGTTGGTGGCGCTGGTGCTGTCGCTGAGGGTGCTGGTGCTGTCCCTGCTGAGTCTGGAGCTGCCGCGCGGCCTCGGCCGTACTTCGTTCCGCTCCTGCAGCAGGTTCTTGGTCTTTCTCCTCCGGTAGAGTGTCCACAGCCTGTCCAGTCGCAGTCACTGTTGGAGCCTTCCTCTCCTCTGCTTGCTCCCTCTCCTTACACTGGTCCTACTGGAGGTCTTACTGAGCGTCGTGAGCCTGCGTCTCGTCCCGCGTCGCCTGTTCGTGCTGCTCGCGCTAGTGGTCGCGGTTCGCGTCAGCGTCCTCCTCCTGTCCCTGGCACGCACCGGATGTCTCTGCGTCCGTCCACTGCTCCTCTGCGTGCCCCTTTACCTTCTCCTCCTGAGTCCTCTCTTCCTGCGCTTGCCGACCCTGAGTCGGACTCTCTTCGTGCTGCCAGTCCTACTGTCACGCGTCTGCTTGCTACTGTCGTCACTGACCCCTCGTTTGAGTCCACTGCTGCGTCTACTCTTGTCTCTGAGCTCGTCGACTTTGCTGCTCGCTGTCGTCTAGACTACGCTGCTAGTCTTGTTGCTGAGTCTGCGTCCGTCTGTCCTCCGTCCGTCGGGGGTGAGTGTGCTCTTGGCACGGACGTCCTAGAGGACAGGCAGGAGGAGTTACAGTGTCTGGCTGCTGCTTCACCCCATCTCGCGTCTGTACTGCTTGCTCCTGAGGGAGACCCGGATGCACTAGACATCCCGACTCCGCGCTCTTACGCGGAGGCCGTAGAGGGTCCCTACTCCTCTCAGTGGCAGGCAGCTATGGATGCAGAGATGGCTTCTTGGAAGTCCACAGGCACCTACGTTGACGCAGTTCCCCCTCCTGGGGCGAACATCGTCAGTGGCATGTGGATCTTCCGGGTGAAGCGGCCGCCGGGCTCTCCACCTCTCTTCAAGGCGCGGTACGTTGCTCGTGGCTTCAGCCAGCGGCAGGGAGTTGACTACTTTCAGACCTTCTCTCCCACCCCGAAGATGACCACTCTTCGGGTGCTGCTGCACATAGCCGCTCAGCGCGACTACGAGCTTCACTCTCTCGACTTCAGCACTGCGTTCTTGCAGGGTAGCCTGCACGAGGAGATCTGGCTGCGCCGTCCACCTGGCTTCACTGGGACTTTCCCTCCTGGCACCCAGTGGAGCCTCCGACGGCCAGTCTACGGTCTCCGCCAGGCACCGCGTGAGTGGCACGACACACTGAGGACTACGCTTGCGGCTCTTGGGTTTGCTCCCTCTACTGCTGACCCGTCGCTGTTTCTGCGCACCGACACTTCACTGCCGCCGTTCTACATCCTCGTGTACGTCGACGACTTGGTCTTTGCCACAGCGGACACTGCTGGACTCGCCTACGTGAAGTCCGAGCTACTGAAGAGACACACGTGCACAGACCTGGGTGAACTGCGCAGCTACCTTGGCTTGCAGATCACTCGGGACAGAGCACGCCGCACCATCACCTTGACTCAGTCACACATGGTGCAGCAGGTCCTTCAGCGCTTCGGCTTCACGTACTCCTCGCCTCAGGCCACTCCTCTGTCTACTCGCCACTCACTCTCAGCTCTGCCTTCGGATGAGTCCGTAGAGTCGAGTGGCCCGTACCCAGAGCTTGTTGGCTGCCTCATGTACCTGATGACCTGCACTCGACCTGACCTTGCATACCCTCTGAGCATTCTTGCACGCTATGTTGCTCCTGGGAGACACCGACCAGAGCACATGGCTGCAGCGAAGAGGGTATTGCGCTACCTGTGCAGTACGTCGGGCATGGGGCTAGTGCTTGGAGGGCGGAGTCCAGTGGTCCTTACAGGCCACGCGGACGCTTCTTGGGCTGACGACCAGGCTACGCAGCGGTCGTCACAGGGTTACACCTTCAGTCTTGGTTCCGGCTCTGTCTCGTGGCGGTCTACTCGTTCGTCTTCGGTTCTCAGCTCCAGTTGTGAGGCTGAGATCTACGCCAGGGCCATGGCTGCACAGGAGCTTCGCTGGCTCACCTACCTGCTGACTGACCTTGGAGAGCCGCCTCGTTCTCCTCCAGTGCTGTACGTAGACAACAAGGCCATGCTGGCCTTGTGTCGAGAGCAGCGCTTGGAGCACAGAACGAAGCACATTGCTCTCCGCTACTTCCTTGCTCGTGAGCTGCAGCAGCGTGGTCAGTTGCGACTTGCGTACGTGGCCTCTGAGGCCAACACTGCTGATGTGTTCACCAAGGCACTCGCGCCTTGTGACCATCAGCGCTTCTGCACCCAGCTGGGTCTTGTGCCTGTCTTGCCTCACTTGCTCTCTTCTTGACTTTACTTGTTCTGTGACATATATATACCTGCTCCTGCTTGTCTAGTTTTATATATATGTCTGTACTCCTGCATGTGAACTGGCCTTTGGCCCTGCTCTTGTGCTCGGACTGTGTGGTGACTTTGTGATCCACCCTGAGCTTGCTTTGCTTTGCTTTGCTTGACTGGTCTTGTGACCCCTTGTTCTCCCCCACTTTGCCTATGGGGGTGTGTCAGATTATTATAGCTGATGCATGTTTGTAGGCTATAGTGGGGTAGCACATATGGGGTACAGCTTTCTAGGGTTGTATTTGTACCCAACCCTGACTTAGTCATTTCATTCCTGATCATTTATTTTCACATCCTTTGCTATATGTTCTTCGAAACCTATAGTGAAACGATCCTTTCCAACTTTCTCGACTCTCACCCTAGGCACAAACTACTCGACATCCTAGTTGGGCCTAGGCTCCTAAGCCTAGGCCTTAGTTAAACTTGATCCTTCTCGTTTCAGTTTCGATACACCTTTTGGGAACATCAACCCTAAACACCATGCAAAAGGTGTTTAGGGTTGATGCTTCCTTAAGAAAATCCCATCCGAATGAGTTTCAGTTTTTTTCTTGGAAAAATATCTTCGAATTTTTGCCGTCTAAAAGTGAAAATATTAGGGACATTATGCATAAATCGAACAGTGGACAGTCGAACAGTGAACACTGCGCTACGAGCTAACTTTCTGATGTTGCCCGGAAAATTCATGAGTTTTTAACGTTTTCGCGAGAGTGATCGCGAAAATTTTATCGTAACTACATCTCGCAATACTACAGACAAAACGGCGCCACGAGACAGGAACAGTGTCGCGATGACAAACAAAATGAACGCGCTAATAGTCTATAAATCTCAATAGTGTGACAACGCATGGGGAACCATTTCAACTTTCGAGCGGGCGTTTCTTTCAGTGACTAGCATGTGGGGCCACGAGTAACCATCTGTGATAAATCAGTGACCATCCTCAGTAGATTTGCCCGTTTCAATGACCGTTTGTGATAACCCCATGACCATTTGTGATAGCGCGCCTTGTTCAGTGACCATTCGTATAATAAACCCAACCGTTTTTTCTCCTGAATCCAACTTGTCTGCGCTTTAGAAGTCCCCGCTTAGTGTCGTTCGCCTAGCCGCATACCCCACACGTGGCATCCCCGAGTGTCGTGCGCTCCTCGTATCCCCACCACTTCCTCGCACCGCACAGCAAGCAGACACCGCGCGCCAGCTCCTCGCGCGCACGCGCACACCGCGCGCCATGTTTCAAAAGAAGTCCACGCCGCAAGGTGCGACGCACGAGAGATGCGCCACTCGAGTTTCAAACCCAGGGAGACCCGCCGTGTGCTTTCCAGAGCTTTGAGACGTCTTAAAATCCGATTCCGCCTCACTCGCCCCGGAGCCGGCGCGATTCTTCCCCTTTCCGCTTCCACCCGCGGTTCCCCTCCTCCTTTCCCCCATTCGCGCGTAGACCCGTGTCATTCCGTCCGCGAATTCCTCCCTGTCGCTCCGCGCTCCCTCATCCCCGCCGCGTTCGCGCTCTCCTCCCACTTCCCCCCTCCCCACCTCATGCTCCCTCCACTTCCCCTCCGCGTTTATGCTCCCCCACTCCCCTCTCCCCGCGTCAAGCGCCCCCCTGATTTTTCTCCCCCTTCCTCATTCCTCCCTGCCTTGCTTTCCCCCTTCCCCTTCCCTTGCCCCTTTTCCCCTCTCCACTTCCCCCGCCGCGCCTCTTCCGCGACATTTCCCCCCTCCTCGCGCGCGCAGAGGCGCTTCGCCAAGGCAAGAAGGACGTGGCGCAGGCCGCCAGAGGTGCGCTGGCGCTGGGGAGCGGCGGGGGGAGTGGGGAAGGATTGGAGGGAAATAAAGGGGAAGGGATGGGGGCGGATTGATGGGGAACGGTGGGGGGGACAGGTGAGAGGGGATGAATAGGGAGGGGTGCGCGGGGGGGAATCACTGGGGCTGCGCAGATTGCTAGAGGAGCGCTTGGGTTGAAGGCGGGGGGAGGGGGGAAAGGGGATGGCGCTACCATGCGCCCCCTATCCAATAGGGGAGATGGCAGAAGTCAAATGGAAGCACATCTCTCCTCCTGTCTGCCCCAGGTGTCACCCGGGTGACAAATGAGAGAGCCACCTGGGTGGGGCACTCTCCCGGTGGGGCACTCTCCCGGTGGGGCACTCTCCCGGTGGGGCACTCTCCCGGTGGGGCACTCTCCCGGTGGGGCACTCTCCCGGTGGGGCACTCTCCCGGTGGGGCACTCTCCCGGTGGATCGATATGGCGAAGGGAAGGTGGCTGGATTGCCTCCTGGGTTCACCCAAAAGCCCCCCCCTCCCCCCCCCCTTTCCCCTCCCCCCCCCCTTTCCCCTCCCCCCCCCCCTTTCCCCTCCCCCCCCCCTTTCCCCTCCCCCCCCCCAAAAAGAATCAAAAAGCTCCTTTCTGTCCTTATGCCATCTCCCCCATCTGCTGCTATGCCGTTTCCCACACCCGCTGCTGTCATGCCTCTCACCTGTCTGTCCTTATGCCATCTCCCCCATCTGCTGCTATGCCGTTTCCCACACCCGCTGCTGTCATGCCTCTCACCTGTCTGTCCTTATGCCATCTCCCCCATATCCCCCATCTTCCCCATCCCCCCTGTCTCCCCCATCTCCCCCATCCCCCCGTCTCGCCTCCCCCAAGCAGGATTGGAGAGGGAGGTGGCTAATCTGCAGGCAGAGGTGAGTTTTTCTGAGGCGCCTCAGAAGGTGAACAGAGGTGGGAGACTGATACGCAGTAGGTGGGACCAAGGTGCAAGGAAACGTCGGTATTCCCAAGGTGATTTGGTCTCAAATTACTGTATGCTGGGGAACGAACGACCATATAAAACGATAAAATAAATAGAGGCATGTGGAACCGACATGGAGCATGCATGGGGCATGTGGGATTACATGTGCAACACTTGAAACTGTGTGTGCCTCTTACTCGTGGTGGGCTGCTGTTGCTTTGTATGTGGCATGCGGTTGGCGTGCTGGCGGCATGTGGATGGCGTATGGTTGGCATGTGCGTGGCATGTGGGCGGCACGTGTGTGGCATGTGGGCAGCATGTGTATGGAATGTGGGCGGCATGTGTGTGGCATGTGGGCGGCATGTGCATGGCATGTGGGTGGCACATGTGTGGCATGTGGGCGGCATGTGTGTGGCATGTGGGCAGCATGTGTGTGGAATGTGGGTGGCATGTGTGTGGAATGTGGGCAGCATGTGCGTGGCATGTGGGTGGCACGTGTGTGGCATGTGGGCGGCATGTGTGTGGCATGTGGGCGGCATGAGTGTGGCATGGCATGTGGGTGGCATGTGTGTGGCATGTGGGCGGCATGTGTGTGGCATGTGAGCGGCATGTGTGTGGAATGTGGGTGGCATGTGTGTGGCATGTGAATGGCATGTGAATGGCATGTGAATGGCATGTGGGCGGCATGTGGGCGGCATGTGGATGGCATGTGGGCGGCATGTGGGCGGCATATGGATGGCATGTGGGCGGCAGGAGAAGAAGCTGCTGGTGGAGATCAAGAAGACTGCCAAGACGGGTAACCAGGTGCGAGTGGTAACCAGGTGGGGGTGGTAACCAGGTGAGTGGTAACCAGGTGGGGGTGGTAACCAGGTGAGTGGTAACCACGTGGGAGTGGTAACCAGGGTGGAGCGGTAACCAGATGGGCGTGGTAACCAGGTGGGAGTGGAAAACGGGTGGGTGGAACAGGCATCACTAATGCATGCCATAATGCCATATTGCCTCACCAGTCTGGTATGCATGTGTTGTTGCCTCATTGATACACATGCCAAGCAGCCATCCCATCACTGGTGCATGTCACATTGCCACGTGCGCATGTCTTGTCATCCGCCTCATTAATCATGTGAAAGTAAGAGGGGAGAGAGGGACCCATGTCCTGTCCCATACACACACCCTCCTTGCTCACACGCACTTCCCACCGACCAGGCAGCAGCACGCGTGCTGGCGAGGGAGCTGGTGCGGGTGAGAGGGCAGATAGCCAAGCTGCACAAGTCCAAGGCGCAGATTCGCGGCATCAGCACGCATGCACAGGTGAGGGAAATCGGCGGGAATCTGTCTAGTTTTTTCTCTTCCTCCTCACTCTCTCTACAGCCTTTCACGCTTCCCTCTCCCCCTTCTGTCTGTTCTCGAGTGGTCTAAGCCAATGCCTCACTGGCACGGGTCATGCACGGGTCATGCACGGGTCATGCACAGTGCCTCTGCCTCTGCCTCTGCCTCTGCCAGAGCGATTACTTGCTTGACAATCCCCCTTTCCTTCCTCCCCCTTCTCTCCCATTGTCCTTCTCCCAGGAGGCTCAAGACAACGTGTCAGTGGCAGGGGCCATGTGCAGTGCTTCTGTGGGAGCACCGTAATGCCAGAGCAGTTAGTGCTTGTAAGGTCCTTCCCTTTCCTTCTTACCCATTCACTCCCTGTCCCCCTGTCCCCAGGTGGCTCAAGCCAATGTGTCAGTGGCAGGGGCAATGCGCAGTGCTGGCACAGTCATGGGGAATGTGAACAAGGTGAGAGATATCACGTTGACTGTATCAGACGGTACTATAACGAGTAACAATTTCAGTGGGAAAGTGTGTGGAGTGTTAGTTTGTTTCCGGTTGCATGCACGAACCCTGTGCGCCCTGTGGTTGCAGTCATGCTTCTTAGGCGCCTCAAAAATGGGTGAAGGTGGTCTCACAAGCCCTCTGCATTCTGTGGGCGCATTTATGGGAAATGTGAACAAGGTGATTGAGTTGACAGTGTTTGTATGGGATGGTGCTATAACGAGCAAAGGTGGAAAACTGCGCCACGCCGTTATCTCTCGGCTGCTGTGAGCACAGTGCAGGTGCAATCATGGGGAATGTGATTAAGGTGAGGTAGGTGATGATGAGTGTATGGGATGGTGACTATAACAAAATGAAGGTGGAAAAGTTATCACGCGTTATTCTCTGTTGACCTCTGAGCATGCTGCTGGTGGAATTTTAGGGAATGTGCTCTCACTTTCCACTCACCATGCATTCACAATGCATCCACCAGACACTTTCCATCCCCCCTCGCTCCTTTTCCCTTGGCAGAAAATGGATGTGGCATCAGCAGTGCGGATGGCACCCCACCCTCTCATTCAATCCATCACTTCCTCTCGAACCTCCCCCCCTTTTTCTCCTTACCTCTTTCCCTTCCCCACCCCGTCAGCAACTGGACGTGGCATCAGCAGCGCGCATGGCAGCAGATTTCCAACGAGAATCCGCCAAGATGGATCATGTGGTGGGTGGATTGGTGTGCCACGTGGCATGCTGGCTGGTGTGTTACGTGGCAGGTTGGTTGGTGTGCCATGAGAAAAATTCCGAAGAAAGTTTGCTTGCTCGCATATAAAGATAGCGAGTTTTGGCATTAACCCGTCTTTGCCCGACCACGTGGGGTTGGTTGCTCGGTTCTCTACTGACCGTGTGAGTGAGTGAGTGACCAATAGCATGTGCTGAAAGGGTAAGGGTTATAGCATCTGGCTTTGATTTTGAACTGCACCTCACAGCACAGCACATGCTTTTTGGGTAGAAGCTTGGTTCGACTGCTGCGTGTGGTTTGAACTGGGATGCCTGCGAGTAGAAAGTGCGTATGTGGGCAGGGTAGGTTTGGTTCGGACGAGGTTTGGACAAGGTTTGGGCTACGTGCTGACCCTTACCCTTCTCGTCTTTCCTCCTATCCTCCTCTCCTCTCTGCGTATGGCACATCACACATGGTTCATGGCGTGGCACATGGCGCATGTGATATGGCACATGGCGCATGTGATATGGCACATGGCACATGTGATATGGCACATGGCGCATGTGATATGGCACATGGCGTATGTGATATGGCACATGGCGCATGTGATATGGCACATGGCGCATGTGATGTGGCACATGACGCATGTGATATGGCACATGGCGCATGTGATATGGCACATGGCACATGTGATATGGCACATGGCGCATGTGATACGGCACATGGCGCATGTGATGTGGCACATGGCGCATGTGATATGGCACATGGCGCATGTGATATGGCACATGGCACATGTGATATGGCACATGGCGCATGTGATATGGCACATGGCGCATGTGATATGGCACATGGCACATGTGATATGGCACATGGCGCATGTGATATGGCACATGGCACATGTGATATGGCACATGGCGCATGTGATATGGCACATGGCGCATGTGATGTGGCACATGGCGCATGTGATATGGCACATGGCGCATGTGATATGGCACATGGCACATGTGATATGGCACATGGCGCATGTGATATGGCACATGGCGCATGCGATGTGGCACATGGCGCATGTGATATGGCACATGGCACATGTGATATGGCACATGGCGCATGTGATATGGCACATGGCGCATGTGATGTGGCACATGGCGCATGTGATATGGCACATGGCGCATGTGATATGGCACATGGCGCATGTGATATGACACATGGCGCATGTGATATGGCACATGGCGCATGTGATGTGGCACATGGCGCATGTGATATGGCACATCACACATTACACATGGCACATGGCACATGGCACATGGCAGCAAGACATGGTG